AAGGGTAAGTTGTTGTATTGGGTTAAAGCACAAAGGTTTAGAGACAGATGCTCAATTGGCAGCTTCAAGGAGTTGAGGTTAAACTGGCACCTTCTAAGGTGAAGCAAAGCTGAATCTGAAGTAAGTATAGATTAAGTTGTACCTCCTTGTAGAGATGGCCTAGAACTGGTTCAGGACAGCCAATGTTGGTAGAATCTACAGCTTGCAATTTGTGCATTGGACAGCTTTATATACAGAGTATTGTTGTTGTTCCATTGCCTGTAAAAGTAAAAAAAAATTTCAAGGTTGGAGTCTTCTCTAGCTAAATCAAGAGAATAGGTTTGCTGTGTACTTGGGTGGGAGTTTGAAGGGAGAATAGTTCAGTTCCAAAGTAATGACGGATGTATAGGTTCACAGCATAAGAGATTCTCAAAGAAAAGTCACAATCAGAGACACTTGGTTCTGCTTCCTTTCTCTCCACAGAGCTACTCAGCTGATGTTAAGCCTTATTGGCTTGGAATTTAATTTTGTTAAGGGAGATTGCTTTATTTCCTAATATGGCATGTTAGGCAAGCATACAAGTAAAGCAGCAGGTTAATTCAAGATAGCACAACTTCTAAGAAAGATGTGGGACCAGCTGCTCGGGCAAAAACTGTACAACTCTCAAAAGGAAACATGTAGAAACAGTGAGCAATGTTACACTGACTTTGAAATACCATGCAGGATATTTTTAGCTGAAACTGCTGCTAATTTGGAGTAGCAAGTCAAAGAAAGGACACCAAGCCCACCACGAAAATAATCAGCACTCTCTAAGCCTAAAACCAAAGAGGAAAAAGAAACAAAGGAAAAGATTAAATGCTTCACTTGGTTACATAAACACTTAAATCTTTGGTACGTCAAAAAATAAGCTAAAAAACAAATGAGAAGAAAACCTTTCCTCCACTAAGATGAGGCGGTTAGGGCATCATAAGCAACGGCAGCATAGCACCATGGTTAGGACTTAACAGCTGTAGTGTCACCAGGCTTGTGTTCACACCCGAGCTCACTCACTTACAGATTTATGACCATGAACAAGTCTATGAAAAAACTGCCTGAGCCGCAATCTCCTCTACAAAATAGTCAAAATGATTCCCACTTCAAAGGATTATTGGATGACTCAAGAATTCCATCCACAATTAAACAAATTATTCACTGCACACAAAAAAAGCACAGTTTAGGGGGAAAAAAATCCAGCTCACTTCCCAATCACCAAGTCCTAGACCCTGGTACAGGATTGCAGTTTCCTATCTGAGGTAAAGAGTACTAGTGTGGCGCCCTAGGTTAAAATGCTGAACCGCAAAGTCAGTTTGAACTGCAAGGTCGGTGGTTCAAGCTCACCAGCTGCTCCTCAGAAACCCTATACAGGGTCACTGTGGGTCAGAACCAACTCGATGGCACTTAACAACAATGAATTCAAGATAAAAGGATATCTTTTCTAATCTGTAGTAAGGGGTCACATGAAGCAATTGTTGTTGTTAGGTGCCATCAAGTCGGTACCGACTCATAGTAACCCTATGTACAACACCAAATAATGATTACATAAAATGATCTATCTAAAGCACTTAGTTCCATGCCCGGTACATTGTAAGAGTTTATTAAGTGGAAGCCATTACCATTAAAGTCAAATTAAAAAAAAAAAAAAAACTCCCTTGGAATCCGGAGGAATGACATGTACAGACAATAGACAAGAAAAGTAATTAAAATTTATAATGAACATAAGAAAAGTATTCACCCTCACAAGCAATCAAAGCAAAATAAATTAAAACTATAAACCATTTTGTTCAAAACGTGGCAAACTTGTCTGAAAAGCCATAGTGGGTGATAAGAGTGGTGAAAAGGGCTGTCTTCATATGATATGGATATCAGAGTAAATTGGCACCTCCTTTCTAATTGAAAATACGTATCAAGAGTTTGAAAACTACCTATACCATTATTGCGTTGGTAATTTCCCTTGTTTAAATGTAGTTTCCGCCCACATCCATGCCCCCACCAAATATATATATATATATGAGTTGCAATGCCTTTTATGCTTGAGAATACTCATTGCAGCATTTTTGGTAATGGCCAAAGATGGAAAATAATATTCAACCATGAAGGACTGGTTACTTCTAAAGGCTGATAAATCCAATTGAAATAAGAGAGGAGAAAAATAAGGAAGGGTTGCCCCAATCTTTCATTATTTCTTTGGTTCTATTTTGATTAGTCCTCTCTACAACTGTTCCCACTAGGACTTTTATTTTCTCATGGAACGCTAACACTCGTTTGTTGACAGTGTGGAAGTAGTGTCTTACTTCAGGCTCCCTAAAGTCAGAACCTGAAACAGACATGTGTGTGCATATGGCTTAATGAGGGGATGCTCTCAGGAGGAGGGTCATGGAAGAAGCAGGATGGGCAGAGTAGAAGCTAAGAAGAGATGTGATCTCAGCTGAAGGTCACTGGAGCTTGAATTGTACTAAAGAGCTGATTCCAATTTGAGGAAAGGGTCTTTTGTCTGTCTGTCAGTCATAGGAGTCCTGGTGTGGTGCTGTGGTGCTGTGGACTAACGTGTTGGACTGCAATGTTGGTTTGAACTGCAAGGTTGGTGATTCAACCTCACCAACTTCTCCGTGGAAAACATATACAGGGTTGCTGTGGGTCAGAAACGACTCAACGGCACTTTAACAAACAACAACAATAGTCGGTCGTATTATGCAGCATGGTGGTAGGAGGCATAACCTCACAATTGAAGAGACGGTTCCAATGAGAGCCAAATCTCCAGAGCCTGGGCAGCTGTGAGCAATCAGCAACTCATAACCATCTAACAAAGAGAACCTGAGTGTGGCAGCAACAGCAGCCGCTACAGGTGGGCACAGATTGGGTGTCCTGGGTCATATCTCTGTGGGAGATATAACTTCCACAGCATGAGATTTAACAAATTTTACCTTTGCAACTCTGCCTGCCACTTATCTGTTCTGCCTTTAAGTAATTGCGTATCTTGCTCATTAAACTATGTCTCATTGAGGAAGAGTTCTGGTAATTTGTTTCAGAGAAATGCATATCTATGGACACAGTCCACAGCCTGGACCCTGATATTTAAAAATGCACTCTATATATGCTGCACACCTTATATGGAGCAAATTAAGGGCTTACTGCAAAGCAAGCTATTGAAAGTGATGCCATTTTAAGGTTGCGAAGGTGACTATTTTTGAACGAGTTGGCCAGCTGGAAAAAAACGAGGAAAAAATAATTTTTGTGGCAAGACTGAATGTTGTACATTAATCTCAGGATTATGAGCAAAAATGTTTTGTCTTCTGAGCAGTGTCAGGCAACTCAATAAGTAAGCTAAACACGAGCTTAATTGTGCTTATTTACTAATTGGAAATTAACAATTTCACATTTTTCACCACATCAAAGATTCTGCTTCCAGGTATAGCTGGCTTTCTCCCAACCTCAAAAACACCTTTCTACAGAATCACTACCTCTTTTCAAGTTCACAATTCCTGACAGAGACAGAGCATCCAGTAAACATGTGAAACTCATATGAATTGTTCACTACAAATCAGTAAGCAAGCACAAGTTAACCCGTGTTTAGATTGCTTATTGGATTACTTGTCCCTACTTTCTGAGAAGGAGTCCTGATGTGGCACTGTAGGCTAATGCACTGGATCGCAAGGTAGGTTTGAACTGCAGATCAGTGGTTCAGACTCACCAGCTGTTCCTAGGAAACCCTCTACAGGGTCACTATGTGTTGGAACCAACTTGTCGTTGGCACTTAACAACAACTTTCTGGGAAGCCCACAAGCCACTCTGCAAGGCTCTCAAAGAAGCCCTCCTCCCTACTCACAAGTTAGAAGGGGCAGCAGTCTGTGAGGTGCTGGGATAACTGAGGCTCCAGGCTGCCCTTGGCTTAACTGGGTAAGAGAGGGGTTGCCAGAGGCAGCTTGTTGGTAACGGCATGCATGGCTGCCTCAGGCCCAGCCATTCCATTGCATTAGTATTAGCCAGGGCTTTGAGCTCCAGTTCACAGTTACAGACAAGGGCACGAATAATTTCCTTCCCACACAATGAGGAGGAATAAACAATCTGAGTGAGTCCTACGCAGCCTTCTCCAGGTTCTTCCTTGCCAACTCCAGAGTCAATCCACTGAAAAATGTCCAGTTTGTACTCTTGTCTGAGGTGCTTGAAATTAATCCGCAATTCTTACACCCAGAAAGACCTACTCACTCACTCTCTTTCTCTCCATCTCTTTTTCTTTCTCTTCTTCCTTGGCTCCTTCCCCACTCCCTCCCTCTTCAGCTCCTTTCCTATCTGAAGTAACAAGTGACTCAAGGATTCTTTCATCGATCCAGTGCAGGAGTACTTGAGCTGTGAGGCATTAAATGTACATCGATGGCTTCATTGTGTTTATTGAGCACCTACTACATGCTAGGCCCAAGAATCACATAGACCAGTTAGACATGGACCCTCAGAGCCTCAGTGAAGACACAGATGTAAAACAGTGCAGTGACTGCATCTTAGATGTGTTCAAATTATATATTTCTTTTTTTATAATTCAAGGTTATTCTATTTTTAGCCCTCATTCTGCCCCAGTAACAGGAGCCTAATTAACCTAGGGTCTGTCCTCCTCTCTTCTTCTTAGAGCTATGTCTCATTTCCAGGAGTTTAACATACAATCAATGAACTGAAACAAGGGGTCACTGGTCACCATCTAATCATTCTGGCTGGACACAACATTCCTCCACCTGTCTGGTCCCCTGGTTTTTGATCTATTGGGGAGTGCGGGGGTTGCAGTGTGAGCATAGCCATTTCTAAAGGATAAATCTGACATCCAGCAGAATATGGAATTGAGGGCAGTTACGACTATAGGCAGGAAGATGAATTCAAATGTTATTTGAAGTGTGCAGGGAAGCAGTGATCACCTTGGCCCGGATTAGTATAATGATGGTGGACTTAGGCAGGAGGAAGTAGAGTTTGTAAAGCAGGGCTTGTAGGCTCTGTGACTGATGTTGTACAATGTAAGAGAGAAGGTGGCATTGAGGACGAACGACACTCAGGCTTCAGCCTTGAGTGACTCTGTGACTGGCGATGCCATCACTTACCTGCAGGCTGCCAGACGAGAGGTACAGCTTGACGGGGCAGGGCAGAAGGTGAGACCCTCAGAGCACGTTAATGCTAATATGCAAGCAACCAACTGAGTTCTGAGCAGGAGCTCACAGACGTGCGCATGCTCGGAACACATGTGATGATTTTTATCACAAACTTGGCCTGGATCCCCAGTGTGAGTTTCTTATTGTTGTTGAGTGCTATTAAGTCCATTCTGGCTCATAGCAACCCCATGTGACAAAGTAGGACTGTCCCATATGGTTTTCTAGGTTGTAATCCTTCTGGGAGCAAACAGCCAGATCATTTTCCCAAGAGCGGCTGCATGAGTTTGAATGACCAACGCTTTGGTTAGCAGGTGAGTAAGGAGCTCTGGTAGTGAAGTGGCTACGAATCGGGCTGCTAACCACAAGGTTGGCAGTTAGGAACTACCAGCCGTTCTGTGGGAGAAAGATGAGGATTTCTGCTCCCGTAAAGATCCACAGCCTCGGAAACCCTATACAGGGTCACTGTGGTACTTAACAACAACAACAACATTAACCACTATGCCACCAGGGCTCCTTCAAGGAGAGTACAGAAACTAAAAAGCAGAGCAGAGGATAGAAACCTGAAGAACATCAACATTCAAGGGCAGACAGGAAGCGAATCTGTGAGGAGATGGGTGCTGGATGAGCCCAGAGGCTATTTGTGCATCAAAGGAAGAGAATTTCCAGAAGAATGTTTTTCAACAGGATCAGTTTCTGCAGTGAGCTGAGCGGAATGGTAACAGAAGAGATACCATTGGATTAGGAGCTAAACTCTCTGCTGTGTTGCCTCTGGTACTTACAGTCTCTGTCATCATCATACATTGTTACAGAACCAGTGACAAGGAGCTAATATATATTTTTATTTTCATCATAGTAACCATTTAAAATGTGCAACAAACAGAAAGGAAACAAGAATCAAATGACCTACTTTTGGTTATTAGTGGGGTTCTCACCCTCAAAAACTTAGAGGAGGCTTCTATCTGTATACATAATTCATAAGGATTCCTCTATTTCTATTTCTCAGAGGCAAATGATTGTGACGAACTGGAAGGGAAACTCTTAACAAGAGAAGGAGGGCTCCCTGACAAATGTGTGGGTTTCTCAGACTGGCACTGAAAACCATAATTAGTTCAGACTTTGTAACATTTCTTGGTTTGTGGGAAAAGATGGAAGTCCCTAGCACATTCACCCTGTTAAGAGATATCCACTCTGTGTGATCTCTAGCTACCTTCGCGTCAGCTCCAACTCAGGGCAACCCTACGTGTTTCAGAGTGAAATTGTGCATCAGTGAGTTTTTAATGGCTGAGTTTTCAGAAATAGATCACCAAGCCTTTCATCCAAACTTCTACATAGACTGAACTGCCCACCTTCCCGTTAGCAGCCAAGTGTGTTAACTGTACCATCCAAAGATTGCTGCTTGATCTTCCATCTACTGTCAAGTCAGTCCTTGACTCACCGTGATCCTAGAAGACAGAGTGGAAGCAGACTGTCTAATCATTTTCCCTCAGTGCAACTGGTGGGTTTGAACTGCTGACTTTTCAGTTGGCAGCACAACACTGAACTCTCTGTACCACCAGTACTCCTTTGCATAATGATGAAGGGAGCTAAAACCCTCAGCCCTAAGAAACTTATCTGTCATGAAATGTTAAATTTCCACTATTGACCAGACAATAAAATAAGTTACCTAAAACCTTTATGTACAACAGGTACACCCTGGGATTAACAATTTAAAAAGAGCAAAATCCCAACTTCCTATCATGGCTCACAAGTCCCTGTATTTCTGGTACTATCTGTCCTCTTACCCTCCTTTTCTTTACTCGTGATGAGCCAGTCAAACAGGCATTCTTGCAGTTCCCAAGCACTCAGGTTTCCTTCACCTCTGGTTCTTTGCATGGCTTCTCTTCTTGCTTAAAATGTTCTCAAGAGGTTCAGTTTAAATATCCCTTCCCCAGAAAACTTCCTTGACCCCACAATCTGCATCATGTCCGCCATCACGCTTCTTTTTCATTTCATGTACTACCGTATACAATTATATATGTGTGTGTGTATTTTTTAGTCCATGAAACCTCTACTACTCTGTGAACTCCAGAGAGCAGAACAATGTTTGGTTCTTTCCCTGTTATGCCCCCGTGACTCTCATATACATATTACATACTCATCTCAGCCCTATGAACTAAACAAACCCACTAGAATACAAAGTCCCTTAAGAGAAAAAGGAAGCAAACACAAGTTTCAGGAGCTGATGCACTGTAGGGAAGAAATAGGCAGAAGAGATCAGATCCTGGAAGGTAGATGGAGATGAGCTATGTCATAGAGCTGAAGCTGACTTCCAAGTGTCTCCCAAAGCTAGTCCTGTGATGCAAGGCTGACTGGGCTGTTCATCAAACCCACAATGTGGCAACCTACATAGGCAAACACAATATCTCATTTTAAGCTACCCCAAAAGCAAACCCTAAGGCAAGCATTTGGGTCAAGTATATTTAGGGGAAGAGGATCCCAAAGAGGCTTTGTAAGACAATGGAAAAGTGAGTCTGAGGAGGTGGATGTAGGTGGGCAGGGAGAACCAACATAAGTGTGTTAATGAGGAGGTTACCATTTGGGTACCAAGAGCTCAATCCTACTAGGAACCTCTGAAAGACTGTGTGCAGCATGCCCATTAATAGCTCCACTGGGGGCAAGGAAGCTGAGGGATTTATTTAGATACCAATTCTTGTCCAGCACTGGTTGAGGGCTGTTACTCCCAGAAGCATGTACTTCCTGGTATGAAGCCAAGTATTAGCACACTTCTGCAGCCTGAGGATATCCTCAGGCAAAGAGACACAGGAAGTCATTGGAGTACACAGGAACTGTGTGCCAGGAAACACTAGAGAATCCAGGGGATATGGGTGGAGCACTGACAGCCTATCACATGCAAGCATAAACACACATATACAAAAAACTGCCAATGTGTCACAGGAGAGAAGGGCTGGCATTTTAGTAAGGATATGAATTGAACATGTGATGATGGTAAGTCAAACAACACTGCTACTATGGTCCCATTATACAGGCATAGGGGTCATTTCAAGCAAAGTAAGTTTAAACATGTTTCTGCAATTAGCAGATGGCTACAGACAAGTTCTAAGGAGCTCTGGTAGCGTAGTGGTTATGAATCGGGCTGCGAACCTTAAGGTCAGCGGTTCGAAACTACCAGCTGCTCCGCGGGAGAAAGATGAGGCTTTCTACTCCCATAAAGATTTACACCCTCGGAAACCCTATACAGGGTCGCTATGGGTCGGAACCGACTTGATGGCACATAACAACAACAACAACAACAGACAAGTTCTACCAGGAACACACTAGTCTTCACCTTAGGGTACCTTCAATAAAAAGGTTCAGTCAAAACAGTGGCTTCCAATGGGATCTGCTGAACTAGTTAAATTCAAGGCAGAGAAGTCAGAGCAGAAGGTTATGGCGACTGTTTTGGGGGGCTTCAAAGGGGTAATTTGAGGATACAGGATGATTATGGGGCTTATAGTGAAGATGCTTTTAGGAAACTGAAAACTGCATTGGTGAGAAAAAGGCCAGGAAGATTGTGCCGAAGCATTTCTTTTTGCATCACAGCAATGCACTTGCTTATTCTTCAAGGGTAGCAAGCACTGTCCTACAAAAATTTCATCAGGAAACCTTACCACATCTATCCTACAGCCCTAATCTTACCTCTTCAGACTTCTTTTGGTTCTCCAAAAGAACTTCTTTACAGTTAAAATGAACATGATTTGAGTACCTAGAGGATGCCCAAACTGCCATTTTTGGAGGAAAGATTAAAGATATGGAAACACCTCCCTCACTTAACAACCTGTCATTGTTAAGTGCCACTGAGTTGATTCCAACTCATAACAACACTGTATAGGATTGCTGAGCCTGTAAATCTTTGCAGGAGCAGAAAACCTCATTTCAGCTCTATTGCAGAGCAGCTGGTGGGCTCTTGTGGTTTGCAGTCCAGTGCTTACCCTACAGTGTGCTCTGTGTGTAGACCTATATAGAGAATATGTTGAGAAAAAATAGCTTCATATTTTGGTATTTTCGTTTAATAAAGGTTGCTACAATTTTGTAGCAATATTTTTTGACTAACCAGCATACTTATTAAATACCAGATGATACAAAATTTAAAAGAATGAAAGAAGAGGTTGTTTTGATTTTTATTGAAAGGAAAGTTATGGTCTAATAGAAGCAGATCAGCTTCAAAGTATATTTGCTGGTGAAAATGTAAAAATACATAATCTGACGATAGGACCATAAGCGGGTTTAGCAATCTGAAAACTAGAAGAAGCTGAGGATAAATGTAAGAAAAGGAATGGAAAGCAACTAGTTTGGGAGGAGTAACTGAGAGAATTAAATTTGATTCATGAAATTTAAAATGAACACACACTGAAAATCCTTTCTGATTAGGTTTGGCAGAGACACCAGAGCATGTTTTGATAGGAGAATGCCTGGAGACAGGAGGGTGGAATAGTTGGCTTCCCAAAATTTTTTATGGAACAACCAATTTAGAATTGGAATATGAAGAGACATTGCCAAACACTGGAAAATCTGAACAATGTTCTAGAAGAGGATGCAAGCTCAAGGAAAGTGGTGAAGCCTGAGGAAAAAAACAAACAAAACTTAAAATCCTTCCTTTAGACCAGGGAAGTTGCTGTTGTCAGGTTCTGTCAAGTCATTTCCAACACACTGTGACCCTAAGCACAACAGAACTAAACACTGCTGGTCCTGTGCCATCCTCATAATTGTTACATGTGAGACTATAGCAGCTGCCACTGTGCAAGTCCATCTCTTTGGAAGTCTTTCTCCTTTTTACTGACCCTCCACTTTACCAAGAATAATGTCCTTCTCTGTGGACTGTTCTCTCCTATTAGTATGTTTGAAGTATGAGAAAAACACTCTCACCATTTTGGATTCTAAGGAGTATTCTGGCTGCAATATTCCAACACAGATGTGTTTGCTCTTCTAATAATCCATGGTACTTTTAATATTTTTCTTCAACA